CTACATGGGGCTCCCCTTGAGGAGCACCCGGAGGCTCCAACTGGCGCAGAGTGCGGCCGCGCGGGTGGTAATGGGAGCGACATGGCGTTCCCATATAACACCTCTCCTGCGCGAGCTGCACTGGCTCCCGGTGGTCTTCTGGGTGCGCTTCAAGGTTTTGGTTACCACCTTTAAAGTGCTCCATGGCTTAGGACCTGGGTACTTGCAGGACTGCCTACTACCACCAATAGCCTCCCACTGGCCGGTACGCTCCCATAGAGAGGGGCTCCTCCGGGTGCCGTCGGCCAAACAATGCCAACTGGCGGCCCCCAGGGGGAGAGCCTTCTCTGTGGGGGCACCTACTATCTGGAACGAGCTCCCCCCAGAGATACGGAGGATCCCGGATCTGCGCACCTTCCGCCGCGCTTTAAAGACCTTATTATTTCACCAGGCGGGCCTGGCCTAATTTTCTCCCTCTTTTATAAAAGATTTTTAATTTTTAAATATCTTTTAGTATTTTATACATTCAATTTTAAAATTGGTTTTAAAAAGTTTGGGGTTTTAAATTTGTTGGGGCCAAAATTATTTAATTTGATTTTATTCTACTTTTAAATTTTGTATGTATGTGTTTTATTGTTTGGCTGTGCACCGCCCTGAGTCCTTCGGGAATAGGGCGGTATAGAAATCAAATCAAATAAATAAATAAGTAAAAAATAATGGATACCAATTGTTTATTTTTTAAATATCTAATTTGTCTTTTTATTTTTTACTAGGAACAATCTATTTAGGTAGAAAACCGTGGAACAGTTGTACAAATGCCTATATATCAGGGATGGGCAACTGTGGCCCTTTTACAATCTGTGGACTTCAAACTTCCAGAATTCCTGAGACAGTTTGGCTGTCTCAGGAATTCTGGGAGTTGAGGTCCATAGGTTGTAAAACGGCCACAGTTGCCCACCCCTGATATATATGTTTTATAGAACTTAAATGTTTTTTAGGTTTCTGAAAGGGTTCCTTCACCATCAGTTGGAATACTTATACTTCCTCCTTCCTACTTTCCCCTGCTTGGATATCTAGGATTTTATGAGTATGTCCAGAAATATTCCCACATACTTTTTTTTATACTTTTAGAAATAGCTAAAATTCCACTTTCAAAGCACCAAATTATCACTTTAAAAATTCTGTACTTTACCTTTTGTTAGCCTTTCCCTTTATACTGTATATAAAGTGCTGGGCAGTTTTCCAGCAAATGAATGTTCTGAAGTAAAAAAAATGAAGAACGTGTTCTGTTGTATTCCTGTGAATACAACTTGAATTCTAAAGATGTGAAACACCTGGGCAAAGTAATTACAAAACCTACTTTTAAGAGACAATTCTTTTATTCATTAACATGTCACAACCAACCAGTTATTAGAGACTTTATAGTAAACGAAATTACCACATTTTTAGGAAACAGAAGAATGATTATTAAGAAAGCTTTTTTCATCTTTTTAAAGTTTAGAAATATTTATAACTTAACAGTTATACATAAGGCTCACTGATCAATGAATAATTTTATACTTTTGGAATTCTGGTATAAAAAAGAGAGGTACATACCCAAATACTGTAAATCACTTTCATGTACACTTGTACATTCACATGAAATGAACAGATATGGATGAAAGAGATGTATAAACCTTCCATTTATGCAGACAATATAGCCCAGTTTTCTTTGTTATTCTTTTAAAGATAGGCTTCATGAAGGCTTGGTCCAGTTATGAAAAACTTATTGGTTTTGTTTGTTTTTATTATTATTGTATTGTGAGTTGATAGACTGTAGGGTCTCCTGTTTGGGTGGGAGGGTGGGGGGTGGACTAGATGACCTACAAGATCCCTTAACTCTGTTAATCTGTATCTGCTCTTTTAAAGGTCAAAACCAGCACCTTGAAGTGGATCTGGAAACAGACTGGCAACCAATGTAGCTCACACAGCAGAGATGTAAGTCTGTTCTAGAAGTACACATAACTGCCTGTGCCACTGCATTTTGCACCAGCTGAAGCTGCCAGATACTCTTCAAGGGCAGCCCCATGAAAAGCACATTAGAGTAATCCAAGTAGGAGGTGACTAGGGTGTGAGTGATTGTGAGCACAACCCCCTAGTCCAGGAAGAAGGCACAACTGATGCACAAAATGAAGCTATGAAAAGGCTGTTAGCCACAATTCTATGAATAGGAGTCATGAATCCAGGAGGAGCCCCAGGCTGCATACTGGGTTTCTCTCAGGCTACACAACCCATCCAGCAGGAAAGATGCCATAGTCTTGAAATTGGCAGGACCCAAAAACCAGGGCCACTCATCTTTGCCAAGGTTCAACTGAAGCCTGATGTTTTTCAGATCCTCCCAGTCTTCAGACACCTCCCAACTCTTTGAAAATAAGTGCTATTAAATTGAATAGCGCTCCTTCCCAGGTAAATTTGTATGGTATGCTACAAAGCTCTTCATCTAAAGTGATTCTCAAAATTATTTCCCAGATTCTATATTAATAGCATCTTCCTAGGACACATTGTGTATTTTGTATCTATTACTTGATTATTGCAGGATAATATATTTATGACATTGCATTGCAGAATCTAGAAGAATTATGGCCACAATTCATTTCTATCCATCTGTATCCTTTTAAAAAATCATTATATTTATTTAGTAATAAGGTCCACAAATTCATCTTGAACTGGCATTATGTTGCCCAAAGACATAATGCCCTGTAAACAATCAGCCACATTTGTACACAAGGAAAGATATGTTGTGCAGTGCCTGTAAGACATTTGGGTCTTAAAGATGTCCCAAATATAATTCTGTCAACTGCTTTTTGCTTAAGGTTGTAACACTTGTAAATAGTCAATGTGGTCCCTGTCCCTGTAGAATGAACACACTAGATATGCTATATTCCAAATTTATTTTCCTTTTAGGAAGTGAACACAGAAATATTAAAGGCATCTCTTCCTTACATAAACAATCCCCCGTCTTATCCCTGTTGCTAAGATTGTAAACCAGTCAATAAACAAAAATGGCCATATTTAAAGCTAGACTAATATGATAGCTCCATATGGAATTGCTTGTGAACATTGTTGGGAAGGATCAGCTGTTGCAAAATGTACAGGCCTGTCATATAAGAAATGTGTCACTATAAGCAATTAATGCCAGTGTTTTGACATCTGCCCCTGCTCTACTGGATACCACTCTGTAATCCAGAAAAACCTACCTCAGTCCCAACACAAAAGCAGGAGCCAAGGCAGTGGTGAAATCCAATTTTTTTTACTACCGGTTCTGTGGGCGTGGCTTGGGAGGCGTGGCAGGGGAAGGATACTGAAAAATCTCCATTCCCACCCTACTCCAGGGGAAGGATACTGCAAAATCCCCATTCCCTCCCCACTCCTGGGGGAAGGATATTGCAAAATGTCCATTCCCACCCCACTCTGGGACTAGCCAGAGGTGGTATTTGCCAGTTCTCCGAACTGCTCAAAATTTCCACTACCGGTTCTCCAGAACCTGTCAGAACCTGCTGGATTTCACCCCTGAGCTAAGGTATATTTTGGCCACCTAATGAGAAGGAAGGACTCACTGGAGAAGAAATGCTGGGAAAGATTGAGGGCAAAAGAAGAATGGGACGGCAGAGAATGAGGTGGCTGGATGGAGTCACTGAAGCAGTAGGCGTGAGCTTAAATGGACTCCGGGGGATGGTAGAGGACAGGAAGGCCTGGAGGAACGTTGTCCATGAGGTCACGATGGGTCAGACAGGTCTTCCCAACTAACAACAACAAGGTGTAGCGATCTGCAGAACACCTGTACTAAGGGATTCAGTTGCATAATCTGCGGACCTGCAGAACACTTAACTCTGGCTTTACTGAAGGAATCAAACTGAACTGTCTGGTTGCTCTTTTTCATCCGGAGATTTCAGAGTGGTTGTGCGTCCACATGCTCACCGGCTTGGCGTTCTCCAGCTAGATTGGGCCAGCTCCAAAAATCCCAGCCAGCAGCTACCCTCCAAATACAACACGTGCACTCAAACGGTCGAGCTAACTTAAGTTTAGGATCCTTAAACTAAAATTCCAATATTTTCGGGGAATAACGTCGTAGCTTTTATTGACCCCTTTTTCTACAGCTGTTTACAGATGTGGAGATATAGAATACCTTCCTCCCCGGGTAACCTCAGCAGTTCCCTACAAAACAAGGATATTTTAGGGTTTCCGAAAAGATTTCAGCCTTGGCCTCGCTTCTACAAAGAGGCGCTGCAATGCAGCCTAAGAGGCCGGGCCTCAGGAAAGCACTTGCATCCCCCTCCTGGGTTTTGTCCCTTGGAGGAAAGGAGAAACCCAAGAGGGCTTCGCAGGTGGGGCGATGCATGTGCGGGATTTCTTTCACCTCCCGCAAGAATGTCGGGACCCACCAATCGGAAACCGACAAGCTGAGATCTTACTCAGTTTTGCCCAATAAGAAATATAAGGAGGGGCGTGGTCTCCATTCTGGGAGTTGAGGAGGGGGGGGGGAAACAGTGTAAGCAGATCCCAGAAGGTGTAGCCCGAGGAACGCGCACGGCGAAGAAGAGGCGTGGCTTGGCTCGGAGAGGAGGCGTGTCCTGCGGTCGGGTAGGGGGAGTTCTTGCGCGTGAGGCGGAGTCCGACGAGTTGAGTTAGGTTGGGCTGGGCTGCCGCTGGCCAAACAAGCCGACGCTGCCGAGCGGCGATGTGTGTGTTGCAGCTCGAGCTCGGGCAGGCTCCGTGATTGGTTGTGGCGCGCTCGTGCCGGCGGTTGCTAGGCTCCTGTGCGCCGCCCCTCCCCCAGGTACGTGTCGCGCGCCGTCGCGCTTGCTCTGTCGCCTGGTCTGTCGGTCACTGTGCCGGTGGCGGGTCCCGGGAGGGAGCGGCCTCCTCGCGGGCCGCACTTCGGAAGGGCTGGCGGGGCGGGGTGGGCAAGGAGCGCGCGAGCCCCGTGGTAAGTGAGCCCGGGCGCCGGAGAAGCTTCGCAAAGCATCGGTGGAAAGCTGGGTTGCGGGACTCCGGGAAGTCCTGAGGCCTCTCGGCGCCCCGGATTAAGTTGCAGCGGTTGGCGCTTTGGGCGTTCTCAACCCCCCCCCTCAATCCCTCAAAGGCTCTGGCGCCTCCTTTCTCTCACAGCCGCGTCCTGGTGGATGGGCTTCCCCTGGTGATCTTCGCCGTGGGTCTCTCACCTTGGGCCTGGGCCGCTGCCCTCCCGGCCGAAGGGGCGTGTGGCGGTGAGGTAGCCGGTGAGCGGGGGATCCTTGAATGCAACCGAGACAAGCTCAGCAGGTGCAGGTGGCCTTTGGGCATGGAGGGGGGGGGGGTGCGCGCTGAGGTGCCTCAGAGCTAGGTTGGTGAGCCTTGTGTTGTCATTGACGGGGAAACGTTGGGAAATAAGAACCTAGGCTAGGAAACTGAGCGGTCTGCCCTTACAGCCGAGGAGGGTAGCTCTTGTTTCTTTGCCATTTTTAGTGATCATTGAAGGCCTTTCTCAGAAACGCTGCAGTTGTTTCTCTTGGTGAGGAATAGATGTTTTTGATAATATGGCACTACTGAACAGGCAAGGTTCTTTAGGTTTTGGCCAAAAGTTCTGGAGATACCCAAGTTAAGAGATTCAAAAAGGGGTTGGGAAATCGTTAAAAGGTTCCATTGTATACTATATGCCGAATAGAATAGAATTTGCAATGTCCAGAATTCACAGCCACTGTAATTTGATTTAGATAAAAGTATTCAGCATTATGTCTCGGTGGGCCTTCCAACAATCTTGTAAAATAGGAAACCAAGAAATATAATCCTTTGCTGTCAGTAAAGTATGTACTGGTTGGCTTGCAGCTGTGTGTAGCTAATTTTTACAGTTGGAAGTACCAGGGGCTTTTTAAGTGCTAGGCAGGAGATAGTGTTTTCCTGTTGGTGCATGTTTATATATTAAAGTTATCTTCATGTTTGTGGCCCGGAGAGTTAGGCCTGCAGGAATCATTGACAAGTTAAATGTAAGTTTGTTTAAAAAGATCGATGTATTCACCAGAGGTTCTATTGATCTGTAAAGTAATGTCTTGGAATCGTTATTCTTGTAGGTAATGCTGTCATGATACCAGTAAGTGCTGGTATCCACCATATGGAGAATAAACAATGCATTTCAAAAGCTGAATTTAGTTCAAGCATTCAGCTAAATTTATAAATCCTCTGTATATTTAGAAGCGATACGTAAGGGCATGTTCAAATAGTGACCTCCTTAGCTGATGTAGTGGACATTTCCCCCATATTGCACTAGTTCCACAATTATTTGTTCTGGACATATGGACGTGTACAGAACTTACTTATACTGATTATGGGAATTAGACCCTGCTGCTTTTGCATAGTTGATCTTTTTAAAGGTTTCCAAAATACCAGTAGTTGACGCTTAAGTATGTATTGTGGACTTGGCTTCTTGGGAAATAACTCCTAATATAAATGTTATTTGAAATGTTGCATTCAGTGTGCAAAGTTATGTTTCCAGGAAATATTACTGAAAAGCCTTGTGTATCATGCATGTAACAAAAATACAGCAAAAGAAAGAAAATCCTTTAAATATATGTGTTGATAGTTTAAACCTGATTAACTGCTCTAAAACAATTCCAATGAAGGCCCTGGCAACAGAAATCCCTTAGAGAAAACTTTACAGTACATTTTAACTACCTTAATAAAGTATCTTAATAAAGAGGAACTTCAAAGCATGATTGCAGCAAAAGTTTAAAAATCTGATACAAAGTTTTTAATTTCTAACATGAATGCAGAGTAAGTAAGAAAAAGAAAAGAGGTAACTAAATTTTGCTTTTTTCCATAGAAAGGCAACTGCTTTTTTTGAAAATCTGGAACGACCTCAGGGTTTACTTTTTTTATGTTTTGTGCTGGAGTTCTAAAACTAGACCTTGACCCTTTGAGAGAGTAAGCAGAGCGATTTTCTCTGTTGTGTTCTTTTTCCTCCATTAATATTTCACAGAGAAAAGTTACTATGTAAACAGCTTCCACATCAATTCATACCTCATTTGCTGATTTTTAGACTGAAACATTACAGTACATGAATTCCTAAGATGTTTGTGTTCTATCTTGAAATTATTTGACTCCTTTATAAATTATGTGCTAATTTTTATGTTACTTTTCAAACAATTATGTTCTGAACTTATGTCAATTTGAGAGGCTGGCTCTGGTAGCAGTTTGCAAATTAAGATATTCCAAGAAGGCAAGTGAAAAGAAAGTTTCAGGAGGTAAATATTGAATTCAGAGGTAATAGTAAACTAAAGCAGTTATTTATTTTCAGTATCTCTCTTTGCTGTTATTTTTGCTTAAATATTTGAAGGATAGATGAGACCAAAATGTTTTTTCAACTTTCCCTTTCTAGTAGAATTGTTCATAGAAGGTGAGTATTCTGTCTCTAACAATGTAGTAACTTTATTCCAGCTGTTCTTTCTCTGTGATATGTGGTTGTATTGCTTTCCCCTTGTGAAGGTGTTTTTCTTGTGATGAAGGGTTATAATTTTGAGGTCTCTCTTGCTCCTGGCTAATATATGAAATCAGAATATGGTGGTATTCACCTGTCTAGCTTAAGGCACTGAATAATTATGTGATTAATATTAATTACAAATTATTTGGGACTTCAGTGGAGCTATTGGTTAAATGGCAAGTCAGAGGCGGTAAAATTATGCAATATTTTATATTGACCTGCTTTGATAAACAGTTCTATAACTTTTACTGCCTAAAAGATTAGCAGGTTTCTTATAGAATATACTAACATTTTGTGTTAACATTCCAAGTGAATAAAAATGTTTTATGGTTAACTCTTGGTTCAGCATAAGGGCTTCCCTTGCTTGTATTAAGAGTGCTAATAATTTAGGACAAAAATCATTCCTTAGTTTAGGGACAAGGAAAGTTCCTCAATGTACAAAAAAATAATTTTCTGAGTACCCAATGCAAGATGTTTTATGGATCCCCATTTTTACAAAGACATAACTATTTTAAATGTGTTACTAAGCCACATTCTTTTCTCAAATGCATAGAGAATGAGGAAAAGTTCCTTTTAATAAAGATGTATGGTGGTATGTTGGCTGTAACCTGCATACCAATTATGTTTGTTCATTAATTCCCAAATGGTGTATCAGTTGTGCTGCATACTTGCTATGCTAAATAAATTAAATAAAGAGTACTGTGCATACTTAGTATGCACACAAACTATAGGCTGCTGCTGCATATGTTCTTATCTCTCTCCAATAAGACTTCACTGGAGGTTTGCAGTTCTATGTAGTCTCTGCATTCATTATAATTTGAGTATGCAGTCACTTCCAATTCTTGACATGCAGCGGGATTCTTGCCTTCAAAGGAAGCTGCCCATTGTATTCAGCCAGATGGCATGCCATGAACATTGATGTATGCAAAAATGAAGGAGGTATTCCTTTGAATGAGCATATTTCTATGCACTCCAACACAAATCCTTTTAAATCTAATGTTTAGAATTTCTCTGGTAAGTAAATGCACATTTTTTCAGACATTTGGGAAGCATTGCACCAATTTAACTAGGTTGATAGTGATTAATGTAATTCTTGTTTGTATATGAATCTGGCTTCTTGGTTAGATTGTAAACCACCATTGCACAGAAATAATTCAAAATAACATGACTCTTAGAATCAGTCCAGAGCATTGAAGAGTAACGGTATACTGGTAAATTTCTTTTTTGATTTCATAATTTGGATAAAGACAAAAGAGTTCCATACACATTTTGCTTCTATTTTAGCTACCTTGCATTCGATTGTAACTCTTCCTTGACTAAAGTATGATGGGAACTTCAGCATATAAAATCAAGAATGCATTTGTAGTGTAAATATTCTGGTCTGTTTCAGTAAGTACTTCAAATGGAAGAGAACCCTTAGTTTTTAATTGTGAATTTGATAAGTTGTTGAGCTCCATTGTTAAACATCAACACATGTGAAGTGCTTTTTTTGTTTCTCTTGAAAAAACTCTGATATATTTCATATCTCATTCCTATTTTTTTAAACTTCCCATACATAATTACTTGGTTCTGTACAAGATTTAACTGGCAAATTGCTACCATAAGACTTAATTCATAATGGAAGCCCTTCCAAAATAATATGTGAAGGCAATAATCATTGATTGTAAGTAGCTTTAGAAATCACCACCACAACAAATATGATGGGATTATTGCAGAGCTGGTATCTTAGAGTCTTAGAGCATATAGATCTTTTTTATTCTTGATATTGCAGTGATAAAATGGACTACTTAATTGTTGCAAAATATTTATATAGCTCTCTTGGGATGTGTTATCAGTGTTCTTAATTACTAAAAGAAGAAAGAAAAAAGGTGCAAAGTATAAGTTTTCATATCTACTATTTCTTTGTTAATTGACTTTTGAATGCTAATCATGAGAGACATTGAATATATATCTTGACATTTCACTAGCCATAGCACATATTCATTGTCTGGATGGCATTGCCAGAAAGTCATTGTACCAAGAAATAAATTATGTACTCTTTAAAGACATCAGGCACTAGTAACGAAGGATAAATAGATCATTTTTGGATTTTCTGTTAATTTCTCCAAGATTCTTAAGTAAATTGCCACCTGTTTTTTTTCCCTACTGTTATCATATAATCTTGGTGGTTATTGTAAAGAAAAGCAATTTAAATTTAAAACATTTATGGAATAAAGAGACAATGCCTTGTGTAGAGAAGAACAGTGAAAGAATAGAACCGAGTATTGAATGTATTATCAATTTTTTTAAAAAAATAGGCAGAAAAATCTCCCAGGATCTGTAGTGGGAATTAGAAATATTTATGTCAGTCTAATGTATAGAACTGGTTATTACCAGTAGTAAACTAACATTTTCAACTCCAGAACAATGGCTAATACAATAAACAATTTTAGCGATGATAACATGAACTCTGAAAATTTCATGTCACTTTTGAGAAGAAGGTGATTTCACCAGTGATCAAATTCTGGTTTTTCACAGACAAAATGATTGGAAAAAATCAATATATTCTTAAGGATAGACATTTAACTCAGTATTGCAAACAGGAGAGATCCAACATGATTAATAAGGGGGCATTTTTGTTACCAGTATGTAGACCTACGAAGCAAGTAGTCAATGCTTTGCTCATGGACTTCCTGAAAGCGTTTAGCTTCCTACTACAGGAATATTGTTGAATTAAATGGATTCCTGGCTAGATTCACCATTCTGGATCTACTTTTCTATTTTAATTGGTAAACATTGTCTTTTTACAGAAAATTGTATCTACAGTGTC